TTGGGGCTTATTACATATATATATATATCCTCTGGTAAATTAACATAGACCCTGAAAATCACAATTTTTTAGAGAAAACTAATCTTCCAACCCCGATGACTACCAGGGTCTATGTTAATTTACTGGAGGGTAGCTCCCATGGATTTCCAGTCGACTTCTGCCCCGTCCCAAGGAACGCCTATTTCGGCCTGGCCATCGGCTCCTGCGTCACCGCCGGAGGCTTTGCGGCGGGCTCCATCTCAGGCGGACCGGAACCAACATCGGTTTTTCGGTTGCTGGAAGGGGGTCCCAACAAATAGGTTTTAAACCAAAAAAACAATACAAAACAATACAAAACAAAGAAATCCTATCCAAGTTGATAGTATACTTCCTCTAAGAAAACTAGTACTTGGATGTAATTACTTGATATTTTGGGCACAAAACGGGGAAAAGTGATAGTTTAATTCCTGATTTTCCTCAATATCATTTCATGGCCTTCAGACACACCCATATGGGGATGGGTTATATACTGTAAAACGTTTTTTTTTTTGTATTTTTTCCTATACATATTCTTAGGTACTAGAGTCTTGACCCGTGGCCATATTGGGGTCCTGTCCCCAGAAAAGATAGAAACGTTGTTCCAGGATGTTGTGGATCATTTTGTAATTTTAAGGCTTTCAAATTGTCTATCTATTTTGGGGTTGCTATTAAGGGGATGCCATGAAATGGGGATTTGTCATGTTGCTGTAACCATGATGATATCTGGGATTATTAGGCTTGTTGTTTTTAAAATGAATGGTTTTTTGATAAACACGAATAAGGTATTTCTCATGGCCTTGTCTATTTTGCCACCATCAAACGGGATTATCTCTCAAACTGTATGGTATTTGCGTCGGCATCGGACTTTGAGCAAAAATGTATGGAGCTCTACCCACGGTGAAGATTTCACATAGGTGATATGACCAACCATGACACACCCGGTTGGTGGGTGCAAACATTGCTTGTTTTAGACCTACAAATGGGATGAATGGGGAAGCAGCATCGAGGTTGATACAAGTTACAATACAGAATTGTAGAGATATAGGGCATATATTATAGATTATTATATTATGTATACATGAGACCTTTGAACCAGTCCCCACCACCGAAGGTTGTTGATGTTTTGTTTTGATCTTTGAAGAAGCTTGAACGGAGAAACGACGTGAAACAACTCTAAGTACTAAGTAGACTCGAAATGGAGCGCTATGACCTGAGATATACCGTAATCGGTAACGATTCGCGATTATTGGTGCCTTTGCGTGTTGCATTTTCCATCACCATCTGAGATGATCCAGTCAATTGCAGTTGTGGCCACCTGTCACCAATCATGCGCCGAAAAGGTGGAGAATTGAATCCGGCAGTTTCGTTGAGTCACTCAGACACGAAATGCTGGGTCTGTGATGTTTCACTGCAGGGTCTAGGCAAGAAAGAAAACCAGGGTGATCCAGGGTGTACAACTGAAAATTACCAGGATTTCAGCAATTCAATTCTATTTCCATTTGTTTGAGTTTGGCATCACTACACTACTAATAATTCATGGTGGACAAAAAGGATCCTTACCAATGCACTGCAACAGTTCTGCACAATTTTGCAACCAAAGCACAAGTGCATCATCCGAGGACGCAATTTTCCCACCTGGAAATATCACATGGAATTCAAATGGGGAGTTGCAAATCCAGCTATACAGAACTCAGTCACTTCTGGTGATTTCTGATCTTTTTTTTTCCATTTTCGGTCGACCCGCAAAGATATGCCACAGTAACTAAGCAGTAGGTGGGTGACATCCGTGCCCAGTAGTCATTATAATATAATATTATACTATATAGTAAATGTATACACTTATAAATTATAATGCATCTGTATCTACACATACATATCTACCTATCTAACTAGCTATATCTAGCTATCTATCTATATATATATAATATTGATGACCCGGCTAGCTGAGGCATTTACATGGCCAATGTGGTGAATCCTGGACACCTGGGCATTGGCCCATTTGGCCACTGGGCAAAGAGCTGGGGGTCACCAGCATCCAGCATTGATCAATCATGAAATTTACCGATTTTATATGAGTTTTGATGAAATCACTTAGAAATCACTTAGAAATCACTGGGAACACATTGGGTATCTAACATCCACACATATCATTGGGTATGCGACAATATTGGTATTTCGATGTATTGTTTTTGGCAGTGAGTCCGAACTTATCCATAAGAGTTAACACTTGTGCCATCCGCATAATCCTTACATACCCATTGGGATAATCGTGTAAATCATATTCCCACTCCCATTAACATTCCATCAAGATCCCAATCCCATGAGTCATCCAGAGGTTTTCATCCTTTTGTTCAACCGGCCCAGTAAATTTGGCCTCCTTCGTCTTCTTCGAACTCTTGGGCGGGGCCTTGGCGGCGGGCCTCTTCCGCCTGACAGAGACGGGGGCGGGCTCGGCGGCGAAGGATGACAAGGCGTGGAAGGATGCTGGGGAGTGCAGTTCCACGCTTTTTTTTTGGATCTCAACTTGGCTTAAGCATAGTTGTTACATGATGTTACATTACCATACCTGTTGAGTGGATTAGATGAGTGGCTTAAATAACCATAGTTGTGGAATAACCCCAACTGCACCCCCAAGTTGGGAGAAAAATCATTGGAAAATGGGTGGAAAGCCCTAGAAAAACATAGAAACACATGGATAGTTTGGGCCAAGAACTTGCCAAAAGTCTCGTTTTTAGAGGTTGAAACTTTGGCGCCCAAGAACCAGCCTAAATCGGATGGAATAAAGTATAAAGCTATCTCACCAGCAAACTTCGATGCTATCACTATCACCATTTAAATGGATTTAAATGGATTTAAATGGATTTAAATGGATTTAAATGGTGAAATTGGACAGATACAGTAAACCGTTAGTCATGATCAACCACGGCAGTGCAAGGATGCAAACTGCGACTGATTTCCCTCTTGATCAGCGTTGCTGGGGCAGGGAAAAATACCTAAACATTGACACAACATGACTAAAGTTGATTAAACATTTCTATTCATAGGTAGTCTTACCATAGTTCTTAAAGGAATTTAAAGGATCTACACAGATCTTTGGCTTTGGGACTTTTGTTCCATTGTTTCACCAGGTTCCAGTGGAGGAGCCCAAGGAAGTGCTGGACGCCTAAAAGCGACGCTGCCGACGCTGACCGATGTCGAAAAGGGGTGGCCGAAGGCTTCGATGGTCCAATTGGTCAAAATATGTTCCTTAAGAATCCTTGACACAGATATAGATCAGGTATAGATCAGATATAGATCAGATAGACATGTATTTTTTGGGGGTATACCATGAAATTTATGAACTATCGTATACTCCACACAGCCAGATACCAAGGTTTTGATAGGGTGATTGTGTTTGAATAGAACCTGTTTTTAATGGGGAGGCCGAGACCCATGATTGTTTGGGAAATGAAGGAACGCTAAGGTTGGGGCATCACTACGGATTTTCGTTGCAATATTCGTTGTTTTCGGGCGCTATTTATCCTTCTAATGTCCCCATCATATTGATAAATCCCTTCAAACAGTGTGGGGCAACAGATAAAGCTAAGGATAAACAAACGGGTAAATTGTCTTGCATCATTATGCATCATTGAAAAACATCTCCCAAACAGGTTGGCGTACTTTATTGCCTGGGGGTACACTAATCTGTCCAGGGATTTAGCATATTTTATCAAGTTCCTGAACGTTGGTAGGCTCAAACTTTCTCAAACAGCTTGTGGGGCATCCGGCCTATATATATGACCTATATAGTCTTTAAAACCAATTTATGTTGCACACATATATCATTTCAATACCACTGAATGCTGCCGCCGAACGATTTTCAGCTGCAGACACAAGATCATGCACTCATGAGCCACGCGCAAGCTATAAGAAAGGTACGATTTGCACCACAGCAAAGATAGCAGTGACATGCAGTGACTAGCCATGAAGTTTCCATCTGAGAGAACAGATTACTAGTAGTTGCCTTACAGTAAGTCTCTGCTCAACAGCAGTATATACTTTTTGCTGGACAGATACATTTCGGCAATGAAATGCTAAGTCACAGTCGCAGCTCGTTCGGAGCAAGGCTGGATGGCCGGCACATCTGTCAAATAGATAATTATGGTATGGCTCAAAACTGCCCCAGATTGGATGGTTTAACAAGTTTAACATGTTTAACACAGTTCAACTCTGAACAAATAACCAGCGCGCCACTTGCAGATCCCTTCATTCCCACTGTTCGAAGAGTTCCGCGCAAAATACGCAACCGTTGTATGCCGATCGCCTTCCGCTGCTTTGCCCTGGGCCTGTTGGTACCGGTGCTGGGCACACGGATGGACTCTTGGTGCATGGCAAAGGGGGTGCTGTTTGGATAGGCTGAGATGAACTGACGTGCCCAAATACAACCAGGCATGACCAGGGTTTATTGATCGTCTTTGCAACTGTATCCGTGTAGTGACCATATCGCATGTTCACACAACATGGCGAATAATGTAAAACCAATCTACTCCTGAGTGGCAAATTTCATGCTTTCCTATAGATTCTCACATTTTTCACATTCTTTCCCAGATTCTCACACCGCAGTGACCCCTACCAGGCCTGCAAACTGGCAGTGGTGGCACGTAGAGATCTGCAGATGTCTGCTGGCAAGCTGGCCGCTCAGGTGCGCGGCGCTAGGGATAGCCTCTGGTGTCATCAAATATGGCTAGGAAAATGCCAATTGGTTAAAGGAATTTCCCATATTTTCCCATGAAAACACCATTTAGAGATATTTAGAGTTGATTTTCGATTGCCATGTTTGATTATATCACAAACAATCATCTGTATGAATCTCAATATCAATATCAACCAATCAACATCCTCCCTATCAGTATCATTTGGGTATATTGGAACACAAACAATCAATATCAACCTATCCAATTGAAGTCCCTCTTTCATCGAGGGGTACTCAAGCAATTTTTACAACCAAGGGGGGTCCGCAGCATCTCACGGACAACTCCAATTGGTGGAAACAGAACCTTTAGGTATGTCACACTCGTATAGTCTAGTGAAATAGTGGGATTGAACCTGGACCATCATTAAAATCATTTGCTACTGGCTATACCTCTTCTAATTATTCTCATTTTTCCCAATGGAATTTTGAACTTCACAGCCTCGTGGACTCGTGGCCGTCTTCCTCAGGTAGGACATGCTGTGCACGACGCAGTGATGGGGTGCCCCAAAGCGAAGCTGGAGTCCTGGGAAGACGACGGATCGATGATTGTGGTCCTTCAAGCTGAAACTTGGCCTCGTTGGCCTCGTTGGCCTTGTGGCGATCTCCGGCAATTCCTGGGGAGACTGGAGAAATCTGGAGATTTTTTGTGAAGAAAGAGACCCTTGAAACCCAACCTGCTTGCAGATCTGCAAAAATAACATGGTGTTGATGCTTGAGAAACGGAGGTCCAGCCCCAGAAATTTGGGTCATGTGAGGGTCCAAGTGCAAATCATAAATCTTGGGTTCATGTGCATGAAGTTGAGACAAAATGAACAAGCTGTGTTTGTTCTACAGGCGTGATTTTCTGCGGATATCCTTTCCACTGGGCTCACCTTCCCACCATGGCAAGATTTAGATAGATTTAGTAAATTTAGTATGATTTAGTCTAGTTCAATCAATGGATGTTGGTGAGCAAGGGTTGAACCACAAACTACCCGCATGTTTCGATAATTTTAGATTCAGATTGGACCGACTCTTCAGATACACGGAATGGGAATGTTATGAGCAAATCATCGAATTGGCTTTTGAAGCCATTGGAAACCACCAATCTCCGCATGATTTGCTGATGCTATTCCTGCTGAGTAAGGAATCTCCTATCCCCATCCCATCGATCCATCGATTCCTGCTCTGAGGATTCTGAAGCGGAGCTGAAAGAGTTGTCACTTGACCAAGAAGATTCAACCTGCGCAATAGTTTGCACCCCTCGCCAAGTCTCTCTTGAAGTTACCAAACTTCTACTTGAAATTCTCTACACATCTTTTGATGTTCCCCCCATTCTGTCGGAAACCTGCAGCCTCACAGGCAGTCAGCAGCAACGCGCTTGAAGCTTCAAAGCTTTGATGTCCAAGACGAAGGCAGGGAAGGGTGTGAGGTGGGGTTTGGTTATGAATAAAACCGGAACTTGAACTTTGAAACTGGAGCCTAAATCCATCTTGAGCGATCTTAAGTCTTAAGTTCTTTAGCGTATAGCTCGAACATGTTCGAACGATCAATACAGTCTTGGAAGTTCATTTTTAAATCGACCTCGAGACATGCTTTTCACTTGCTTTGATTCAAAGATGTCAAAGGACACATCATTTTCCCAAGATGCCTAAGACGAGCAGATGTGAAACAGCCCTGAAAATTCCCCTGCAGGTCTCACAGAGGCGCGGCTGGAAGTTGAGCCTGGGGAGAATCCACTGGAGAATCCACCATTTCGGATGCTTTCATATTCACAAGTGAGGCTTCATATTCGCACTTCAGTTTCTAGGGTAAGATCCATGATTTCTCATGGATTCTCAAACAGAGACATTCAGATTTCAAGTAAACCTTGAGTGATAGAAAGTCGAAACCATCCATACTTGATTATTTGATTATTAACCATTAATGATAATAATGATGATTTATATGCACTGAAGTGATGTCAAAGGTGGAGGATGAGACTTTCACGGTGCTGGCCATTGGTCCCGATGCCTCCAATCGCGTGGATATGGTGACAGGTGGCGCGGCGAGATCGGAACCCCTAAGGGGACAGGGAAAGAGTTCTGCAGATAGATCAAAAGACATCAAACATAGGACAAAACGGACAAACAACTCCAGAGCAGAGCCTCCATATGATTCACCCAAATTATTTACACTTATATAATATCAATATCCTATATAACTTGTGAGCTTTATCAGCCATGGCCTATACACGCATTATTTATCCCCATGGTCAGCAATATTGATGCTAATCATATGTAAATATTATGTATATGTTATCTAATATAAATTATATATATATATTCGGGCATGATATAATGTCATCCTCATGATATCCTCATTACAAGTGGGTTTCACATAATATCATTGAATCCCCAGGATTAATTGATCACCTATGACATCATATTATCACTACATCAGGATATAGGAATTTATGATAACATATTACAGGTATCGTGATTTTCTTGAAAATATCGCACACATACATATATATATACACACATATATATATATATATATATTATGATATATATATATATATATATACATACACCATATTAATCCATATTGTAGCGATATTTATCTATTATATATCTATATATTATAGCTATTATCACTATCACTGTACCCTATGATGATATCTTTCCATCTGGCCTTGGCCCCCACTTCAGCACGACGACAGGTACCCTGAAGCTCTACGCCGACGCCGCGGCTGCGGCGAGGACCGAAGCCGCGGAGCTGCGGGAACGGCTCGCGGCAGCGGAGGCGGAGCTGGCAACGCTGCGAGCCAAGGCAGGAGCAGGGGGGTTATGCTGGAAAATGTGGGAAAGCAACGATAGCAAAGTCAGAAACTATATGAAACTATACAATTGATGGCAGTAATATATTGAAAATTAAATTAACATGAATGTAGGACAGTAGTTTTTTGAAGTCAATACGATGATGTTTAGTGATTTGTTGTACTTTCTGTCAAGAAAGATTGGAAAGTTGACCAGGAAAAAAACGGCGTTTGGTAGGACGAGTTGGATTCTTGTTGGGAGGAGGATCTAGCCATTTCGCCACGTTTTCAGTGGGAGAATTCATCAGATCCCACTTGACTTGTTCGTTTTAATGTGCACCTCTAGATTGGGTTAGGTGTTGGATCTGCTTTCAACAGTTTCAGTCAGCTTTCAACACACCACGATGGTCAGATGATCCTGGTTCCAGCTCGACTAAGAATCAGCATTTTTGATTGCAATATATTGCAATCTTGAAAGGTATTATTATTGCAACTAAGAAGTTATCAGGTGACAAGGAAAAAAAACAGCAGCGCCAGGCAGATTTGTGATCCCAACGTGGTACCGGTCGTGAGCTGCGGCCAAAATGTGAGTGTTGCAGCGTTCTGTTGCCACAGTTTCACAACCGAAATCATATCAAATTTGGAGTTTTTTGATGTTTTTTGGTTCTGGATTGTGGATTTTCTTTGGCCTATCTACTTTAACTCTCTAGTTTAAGGTGTTTACCCTCTGGTAAACTAACATAGCTATTGAAAATTGCCATTTATAGTGGATTTTCCCATTAAAAATGGTGATTTTCCATAGCTATGTTAAATTACCAGAGGGTAAGTAACTAATGACGCGTCAAGATGTCAAGGCATTTCATGGGGAGCCAGGAAAATTGTTGATACACTTAAATATTGCAAGCCCTCAGCTGATCCTATTTGATTCCACTGGCCACCCAATGTGTTTCTTACCGTTGTGGGCACTTGGTCACTTTTGTAAGTAACGACGCCAGATACATATTCATAGTTGCTACTGGGAAGTACTACAGAATACTATAGAGACTCCTGTAGAGTCATGTGATATCATGGAATATGTAAATTGCGAGAGGGTGACAGAGTGACGGAGGAAGAGTGACATATAGTCATATAGTTTCACGTTTTCACACAGTGATGCCCAATATGTGCCACGGTCAAAAAGTGGATCACAAATATACCAATATATTGGGGGATGGTCATCAATCCAGTAATAAGGATACACCATTGTAAGGAGTCCCATTATGGGATGGATGACCATACCACATGTACCATCTTTTGGCCATGGCAGAGAAGGGAGCGTGCCACTAGCTTCTAGTTCATTTTCCAAGGCTAATTTGCGCATGCCAACCAACATCTTTGCTTCCAAAAAGAAACCATAGCACAACTATTGTTGTCGTCAATGCTGTTTGTTGTTGCAATTTTTTCATTGTCAGACATGTAGGTGTTGGCTGGTATTGGAACATGCGGGTCAGAATGTGACAGTACCAAAACAGTGACAGCTTGCAGAATTGGAACCCACAATTTGCAGACCTTTTGTCGATGGTCAGTTATGGATGGCCAGTTCTTTCAACTTTCCACACTTTCCACTGTCTCCACTCTTCGGCTTTCCCTAGGTCTAGACTGAGTAGCGGCTATAGCGTGCGGAGACTTGTTTGCGTTGCCTGAATTCATGTACTGTAGATTTTCTGTGTGTTTGGGAAGCAGCGCGGCTGCCATACAAACTATGCGCACCCTTGAGGTTCAGCCTTGAAGTTTCAGATGTTTTCGGCAGTCGGTGCTGTTCGAAGCTTGGATGGTGAAAAAATGGAGACGTTTGCCCGGACCTAGAACCACCACGCATTGGTTGTAAAAAGTGACTTTGAAATACTTTGAAGATGTTGAAGGAAGCTCAAAAAGAAACATCAATCATCACAAATCTTAAACCAAATTGAGCGACTTCCTACCCCAGTCGATGTTATTCCCGCGTTTTGCAGCATATCACACATTTCCCATTGCTGAATATCTCGCTGTGATGAGTGGCTCAACCCCTTCAAGGAACAGATAAACGATGCTATTCCTATTCCCCCACAACAAGGGTCTTATCAGCAACGACATACTTAATTTCATGGTCACATAATGTCAATTAATGTCACATTAATGTCACATTCCAAAGAAATTACGATAATTACAGGCAATTTGTTGTCCACAGGAGCTGATTTCCATAGGTTTGACGCTTCACCATGGCGAGTGATCTCAGTGGCAAGCTGGTGACGGGCGTGTTTCTGCTCGGCGTCGGGCTCGGAACGACCGTGGGCTGGTAACATGGCAGCAGATGGCGGTTGCAGTGATTTGGGGTTTCCAAAAATGCGTGGTCCCCAAAATGGATGGTTTGTAACGGAAAATCATGGAAAATCTAAAATGGATGAATTATATAGGTGCACCACCATTTTAGGAAACCTCCAAATCGTTGTGACTCATTACAAACAGGTAGAGATCTTCGAACCTGTTCCCCACAAGAACCCCTAATGTCAGACCAATGTTTTGGTATGTTTTTCATAGGCATGAACCTGTTTCGACCTCGTGTTTGACTGGCCTTGCCAATTCCTCAGCTGCTGTGGCAGCTGAATTTTTTGAAGAACCGGTGCAGGGGACTTGATCAACCAGTGACCTGCTGAGTCTGGAATGAATGGTGCTGGGAATCAGTAGACATTTGATCGATTCTCAAATTTCAGCAGTATTTGGGTCGCTGCCTTTGGGCATCAATCTTAGTTGACCAACTGGCTTAACTGGTGCCAGGGATGTTTCGACATCTCAGATCATATCTCTACATTATCACTGGATTGTCACTGGTCTTGTCACATGTGTTCCAGGTATCTTTGAAATTTCAACCAGTGAATACTACCCACTCCCAACATCTTCCAGATATTGGGAGACCTCCACCATCGATTTCCAACGCTTTCCCGTAAAAAACGCCCCTTGAGGCAGGCAGCTTGCGCCCTCTACCGGACCGAGGACCCGGAGACTCTTGAATGGGAGAACTATGTTTTGTAAAGTGTTCTATAATGTTCTATAGTTTATATCCATAAAGATGGAAAAGTAAACAAACACCAAAAATCGTGATAATTCATGTTTTTGACTATCATTAAGAAGGTTCAAGTACTATTTTGTTCATTTCTTGTGAAGCCTGATAAGTTGGGAATCAAACGTTGCTCGATGCACAACAGTTTTTTAAGAACAGATACAGAAACCAATGCGTTGGGAATGACTGTATATTATATACTAGTCTTGTCCATTATCTAATTATATGTAAACTGAGGACAATTGGGGAATTATTTGAGATGAATCACATATTGGAAGCAACCTCCAATCGGTTTTTGAACATTGTGTGCATGGTCCCTGGGTCAAGCCATTGAATACCCAGAGAATGTGGTAGTTCCCGGCATGGCATGCATGGTGGTAGCTCTGATTGTCATATCTGGCATGGCATTTTCATGGTGATATCATGTCTGATAGCATCCCGTAGCCACCATAGCCATCGGGTATACCAGTGTACCCCCAAAATTGATCAAAAAATTGCCTGTTCAATGGGGGAAATCACGATCAACCAGTGGATTTGGAGGTATAAAATTGGACAGGACAAGAGGGAAGCCATTCGAGCCAAGACTGCGATGTACATCTCGCTTTACGGCGGCTTTGGCTTGGCAGTCCCCTCAATTTGCAGATCAAATGCGAGTTTCAGGGGTGATCAACACATAACTTTTGGGGGGCACACCCCCGAGACGTGGGATGGGATGAATATCTGGGTGCGTCAACTGAAATCGGACCAAGCGGTCGACCAGTTTCTTTTTGAGACTTCCTAAAGCTTTTTCCATCTAAGATATCTCAGTGATTCTCAGTGTGCAAAAGGCCCTGAAGCCCGAAACTGTGAAAGCATCATAAAGCATCCTGCCCGTTCGGTTCTTTCCCACAGACACAGCGAACTTCAACTTGTCTGTTGGCTGAGGCAATTTTGGCCTTGAGCCATGCATTACGATGAGCCTTGAGCCGTGCACGGATGGCAACTTAGAGGCTGGCCAAAACCTCCAAAAGATGTTGATGCTGTGGGCTGACGATGCATTGAGCCATCTCAAATGCATATGTATATATATATATATACATAAAATATATTATATTATATTTATACGTGTGTCTATATTATTATACACGCATAGTATTGTACAATCATTCATGTAGGAACTAGTAAATCCAACAGTAAATAAACTACTTACTTTAATTGACTTGTGTAAAAACAATATAGTTATTTGATTTTTGTTTACAATGTTGGTTGATTAGTGCTGTATGAGTTTCAACAGTAAGCCGCATGGATCGTGCGTTGCCGACCTGGACCCAGGATGATCCACAGCACTGGTGGATGCAGTGAGTCGTTCGATGGAAAAATATGGTTTTGCCACAGGCTCCATGTGCAGAACCTATGCTTATATGCTGTGTATATCATATGTATATATAATACATAATACACAGATATATATATATATATATGTATGATTATAATGATTATAATGATTATATATGATATATGTATACAAACAATGTATCTCGATGTTATAAGCTATATATATATGATATATATAATATGATATATAGATATAATATGATACATAAATATATGATGTATATTATTATTATTATCATCATTATTATTATATATATAGAAATAGATTTAGATTTAGATATAAATACACATTATGTATATATATATATATACATTGATGCAATAGGAAAAATCGCAATCCATCTGGAAAGGTCACTGTTTTTGCTGTCCCAGGACTGTTCAACCGATTGATTTAAGGGAACATCTACAAGAAATATCGTGTTGTTTTTTTCCATTGAATATCATCGAGAGTTCCTGTATTCTTTTCCCATCCGATCATAGGAGCTGTACTATTCGTGCGGTGTCTTCCTGTTTGTAAATATAGATGTTTTCCAGTAAATATACAGGTTTTACTAGTGTTTTCCTTATATTTACTGGGGAACAATGGTTTCAACCATAGATTTTCCCAACGGAACCAACCCAATGATTTGAAGGAAACTGCACTGCAGCTTGTTGTGCAGCTTCTTGCCATGTCACTCCTGATGTAGACACAGACAAACATCTACAGGTAAGACATATATATATATATGTGCTGTAGATGCATTGCCAACCAGTTACTTTATATATATATACATATTACTATATATGTATATATATATATATGTATGTATGCATGTCCTACTACTATTTTTTGCCCAATTGCATTTGTTATTCTGATATCATGTTCGCACATGTCACCGCCACACAGAGACGAGTGGAGAACACCTGAAAACAGCGACACATCATTCGGGTCCAGATTTCATCCCATGTAGAGCCATGGCACCCAATGCAGCTGATGGATACGCCAGTGATGATGAGTGTCCCACCCGGCCACTTCCGATGCTTGGTGCTACAGGATAGAGATCCAGATGTGAGGGGAATGGATGTCCAGAGTTCCCTTTAACAATTGGAACACCTGACCTGCAGAATATTGGAACACAGATCTTCCGAAACGAAGCAATTGCTGCACCATTGTTGGTATTTGATTCTGACTTTCAGTATCCCAATTTCGACTTGTTCATCGCTTGCCTTATGCCTAATGATTCTCGCTGGTTGAATCATTCGAATCCCAATTTATGCAATCAATAGGCTCAAAACGCTTAGAAAAATCGTCTCAGATTATATACCTAGTCGTACGAGTACCTCATATTCCACCTTGCCAGCATAAATTACTATTGTTCATCCCGTGCTCCCAGCCCCACCTGCAGCTGTCAAGGGATGGCTATGGTGCACTGGAGGGGGACCCTCCCAAGCCTGGGAGCAGCCGAAAACGTCGCGCAGATGTCGTGCAGCACCGTGGTTTTCAGCCGGGGATGGGGATGGGATGGAAATTTCAACCGGGGATCCCAACCATCCCTGAGGATTTTGAGGATTTTGAGGTCTATTAGTGGGTCTTGTAGTGGCTATACCCCACTGGGATGATGACAATTTAATGATTCTGGTCCAATGGTGTTCTTGGGATGGTTTTTCTTGTTGGGTGAATCCCAAAGTGGGTTGATGAGTTCCTGAGGATGGAAAAACGATAAATAAATGACTGGGTTGATCCCAAAAAATCTGGGATGAAGGGCTGGCTATGTGAGCATCCCGGATTACCCAAAAATAGTCTTGTTGGTCAATCTTGACAGTTTCATCAAAGATATATATTCATTTGCATCTATATGTATTTACCCGCAAAACCACTTGTGAATCTCAAGTGAACATTCCAGTAGAACAGGTGGTCTAGGTCATATTTACCCAAAATATCTTATCGTTTGAACATAGTCAACATATATGTAGACGATAAGAGATGTAGGTAAATGGACATCAATGTCGTGACTCCCTTCCCAAACAACAAGCCCCCAGAAATCATCGTGGGATGTTCTGAACAGTCTGAACCTGTTCGTTTTTTTGGGTCCCTTCAATAGGTGGGAATCATTCTAAATTAACTGGTTGGTGCTTTGGAACATGGCTTTATTTTCCATTTCATATATGGGATGTCATCCGAAACCCATTGACGAAGTCCATCATTTTTCAAGATGGTTAAAGCCACCCACCAGTCGAGCCTCCATCGCTGCTTGGATACCCCACAGCTCGATGGCAAACAAGCCATTAATCCATTGAAAACCATTTTGTCACGTTGGAATCATCTTAAATCACATCTATATACACATGGAACAATTACATAATATATATATAATATATAATTATATATAATTATATATATATATATATGTATACACTATATATAGTGTGTATATATATACATATGCTATAAAACCTTTCCACAGAACACATCCACAGCCCTTGCGCATCCAAGGTACAGCATCCAGCAGGGCCACGGCCGCCGTGGTTCCCGCCGCGAGGAGGCTGCGCGGTGCTCGGCCGAGGCGCAGCCACCACGGCGCACGGGGGCGGAGATCCGGCCGCGGCTCAGCATGGAGTACCACAAGGTACTGGGGTGGGGGGTTACCCTCTGGTAAACATACAAAAAACTATGGAAAATCGCCATTTTATATGGGAAAATATGGGAAAATCCACTATTTCTATGGCCATTGTTAGATTTTCCATGGATTGGTTGAAGGGAAATTTTACCTATGAAACCTCCATGAAAATCATGGAAAATCTATGGTTTAGATTTTCCCTTAAACCAATCCATTGAGATTTGTGTTGATTTTTGTTGGGGGTTGAGCCGGTTAAATTTGATACCATCGGGGAGGGTGGTAGAATCTGGTAGTTTTTGTTTGGGAAGTGGATTTCACACCACCATCGGAAGGGTTTATATGATTAACCACAGATTCTGTTGTACACCATTGATTCTTGAAATTAAGGTCAGGTGGGGATTACTGACTGCAGCAATAAACAATTATGAATCATGCGATGGGCGTGCTACTGGGTAATTTTGGAGGGTTACACCCACCAGAAGTGTAGAGATTCGAACAAACTGTGGACAGAACGCATACAACATCATACTGTACAACGAAGCAAACAGGGTTAGGGAATTGCAGCGAGATGCAACAAGTATATATAAAAGGGTTGTTTAGGATAGAACAGAAGCAACACTAATGGATATGACATGATAGAACCACACATGTATGATTAATTAGTGATGGTTTGAAGCGGAGACTTGTGTGAGGCGGAGATTTCGGCATGTTTGGGCTACATTTCAGCATTGCTTCTTGTAGCGGGTTTCTTTCCTTGACATGGTTGGTGTTACGGTTGGAACCTTCGGCCATGAGGATTCATCCGTGAAGCAATCGCCACCAGGCTCTGCTGGAACTGGTGAAGAAGTCCAAAGTCCCTTGGCTCGCAATCGGTCAATCGTTCGTTGCCAAGCCCTGCTTGTCTTCGCTGGGGTGCTAAGTGTGGTCGTTTTCTGCCCTTGACTGTTTCTTTGTGTCCCCTCTGACAGAGATTCTATAGGTTGGTGATGTCCTGCTACGTTCAAATGTGTTCCGCTTGGCTTGTGACGCTCTCTGCATCAAATGTAAACTAGTGGACGGCAGGATGATGAATGAACTTACCACCAAGAGCTGAAGCTCCAAGGAGTTTGGTGATGCAAAACTTATTTGCTACTTTTGTCTGATCTGCCATCACTGCCATGATGTTTTCTCAGCTTGACATCGTTTGCTCTCGGAGTGGAGTTGGGTGAACCTCAGTTGGAGGGCTCAGGAGACCGAAATTCGTAGACCATCCCATGTTTGAGGACCCAGAACATCCCAGAACCAGTTCTAGATTCACGCAGACCGGATCAAACTGTACATGGTAGAAATGTATGACTGTATGACTCATTCCAACCCATATAGTTCATATTACGTCATATTATCATACTCACATAGAATCGGTGGGCCTTTTGGGGTCTCAACTTGTCTGACCCGTTTCGAGAATTGGAGCTGGCTTGTGTGTCCTTCTTCAGCCCTACGTGCAATCCGCTCCCTTTTTGAGACCTGCAATCTTCAAAAAAGTTCTTGCCCGTAGTCATTGACCAAAGAATACCACAGAATTGGATGATGCTAATGATGGCCAACTAATCTCAATGTGAGCCAAAGGCCAACCATGGCCAACCCAGTTTTGAGCCCCATCTCGCCGCGATTCGGCCGGGCATGGTCGCTACTTCAGGTGACTTCGATGAAGTCGGACTTGACCATCCTCCGCGACGCTTGGCACATGGGTAAAGGTACATCCCCACAAGGTGGTGCCGGTAGTGCCCCGTAGTTGGCCAAGTTGGTTTATAACATTTTATAATTCATGTTTTTAAACAATAAAAATTAGTTGAATTTTACCCATAGGATCCATGTATGCTATATATGGTAACATTTACCATCAATATACCCCCAATGTTAGCATATATACCATACATGGATCCTATGGGTTATAACATGTTATAACATTTTATGACTAGGTGGACCATATTGAACCATGATCCAATTGCAAGTGAGTCGCTTCCGCGATCATTTGCTGGAACGGCCAGGGTGGGATTGTAATTTTCAAACGGAGAGCCAGTTTACGGAGATGCAAAGGACCCAGTTGCAAATGGACAAGACTTCATGGATTTTTATGATTTATGATATTTATGGATGTTTAATGATGTTTATGGATGTTATTTTATGGTTATGCTTATAGTTATCATAACTACGTATAGAAAACATATGAAAACACTAGAAAACTATAGACTGGTTGGTGGTTTGGAACAGTTTTTTTTTATTTTTCCATATATTGGGAATAATGATCCCAACTGACTAATATTTTTCAGAGGGGTTGAAACCACCAACTAGATAGATAGATGGATAATAAACCAACATATAACTAGGGGGGCACCACCGGTGCCACAGGGTTGTTGATTCAGAGACGTCCTTTTCTCACTGGTTGAAGATGTAATCGGATGGTAGCCCCCACCGGCTGAGTACCTAATTTAGGTAAATGTTGGTAAACGTGTTTCCAATCCGGCCCATCTATTGTTCGAAAAACAAATGTCTGATTTTTTTTAAATATCCGCAGAATCCATCAGAAAATCCCATGTTTGTGTCGATGTTTATCTTCTTTCAAGCCCAGCGGAACCGACCCAACACACACAGTAATTTGGTCGTTCGAAGGAGTGATTCGATTTTGGTGGTACCCCAGCTTGGCCCCCACACCCAAAGTTTCATGTTTTAGTGAACAAAATCAAACAAAATTGGTGTCAGAATACATGACCATCATTAGTAATTAAAACCATATCAAAACTCTCATGATTTTGCTACATCTGCCACAAAAAGTGGCAGACCAACATGACACATCCCCGAAGAAAAAGACCTGGCCCCTAGGAGCATCATCGTTTCTTGTGGGATCACGATGACAAGGATTCCTGGGAGTTACGCCTGGCCAGAAGGCCGAGACCGGGAACGTCGATCTCAATCCGGGACATAGGACGAGATCATCCCACATATTCAGCAACAGGGCAGCTACAAAACGACAGCATTCGGAACACATGGTTTAGTTGTGGGTCTTAACATGTCTTAAGAATTTGGTTCCTTCAAATTTGGTTCTTTCAAGAATCAGTGAGTTATTTCTGCAGAGTGTTGATGTCTTTTGCACAGTTGAGCTGCCTCCAAAGTCACACCAGTTTCAGATTTCAGTTTGATATGTTTGATTGTGAACTTTATGTATTTGTGTCTCAGATTGTCTTAGATACTTGTCATTTGAGACTCTTAAGGTAGCTAGTAAACTAGGTTAACTGCTGGTTTGGATGGAACTATGGGGATACTCCATGAGGATCATCCCCTTCTGCAAATCCTGGGATTGGAGCACCAGCCCAAAGCACAAGTTAGTCATGCGTTGATATCCTACAACTATGGCATCGTCATAAAATTATATTATATATTTAGTGGGGAATATCCTAGAATTGGGATACAATTTTCCACATAGCTTAACTAATAATTGTTGGTGATACCCCATGGTTGACACCCTGTAGTTTACCACAAATCGAGCGATTGAACATATCCCCGTTGATAGGTGACTGGTGGTGATACGGGCCACAACGGGTCTATTGTGGACCATTATAATCCAGGCCCTAGGCATATCCATTTATCAGTTTTGCTTACCTTTTGGTAATTTAACATAGCTACGGAAGAGTCTCCGTTTATAGATTATATATATATGTATGCATCGTGTTTGGCAGGCAATGGGTGTGCATTATCATTAGGGTGAGTATGTAAGCTGATGAATCCATTTTGGCTCAAGTCTGAGCCAAACTGGCTTCATCATTCCTTCTTTTGTTCGGGGTGCCCACGCCACTTCTAGGGAGTGACCCTAGGGTCGGTGGTTTTTCGTTCCTCTACTAGGGCGTTACCCTAGGGTATAGAGGTTACGAAGGTGGGGGATACCCTTCCGATGTCAAGGGCCACCATTGTCGTTCGGCCTGGCTGGAATGAGGCTGCCCATATCGATGCCGAGATCTTGCATGCGGTCGCCTACTACAAGTTCAAGACGCATGTGGAGGGCCTGCTTCAGCGGGGCCTTAGGTCATCCGGTTGTGGTCGTCGGTGTGCCAGATTGACCACTTCCCCCCTCATCTTTGGGAGTGGAGGGACTTCCCTTTTTCAGACGGTCACCCTGCATGGAAGAGAACTGTAGGAGATGCACTGAGTATTTGGGAGGATTCAGGTTTCCTTGGCTTGGTACATGGAACAGTTCAGCTGTCTTGGATCTGCCCGGGAGTGACCCGCGGCTGGAGTGGCAATTTTACTATGATCGCCTGGGCGAGGCGAAGCTGGATCTGCTGCTCATTGAATCGCTGCGGACCCATTGGACAGCGAGGGATTTTGCGCCGGGCAACATCTTCGACCTGGTTGTCTTCATCGAGCACAATGCCGAGAGCATGGTCGACCTCGCCGAGTTGTGGAATGTCTGGAGAACTTGGCAGTCTCAGGCCTAGAGATGTCTGTTTGTTGCATGGTGACGCTGAGGTACACTCTGCAGTTTCAGGTCCAGCACGGACGCTCCACATCTTGGCAGCGGTTGTGTCGGGGGTCGTCATGGCATATCACTCAGGAGCTTATGCAGTGCAAGCTGCAAGCGAAGCTCCGCCCTGTGCAGAGACTGCAATGGAACGAGTGGCTTCGACAAGGGTGGCACAGTGGAGGTCTCAATGGGGGTTGCAAGACAATACGGACTTTGCGTATGCCTTTGCATCCTATGATAGCGCTGAGGCACATGGAGGACACCATGTGGCTGATGCGTGGCTTCAAGCACGTTTCAGCAGCATGGACGAGGATCTTATTCCGCAGGTGGCAGCAGCCGCAGAGAGCTCTGGATCGAAGGATAGGCCGGCTAGCTGGCCTGCGCTTAAGGCGTCGATGCTGAAGAAGAGCAAGATGGTTCAATCTCTTCGCATTCGTCCTGGTTCAGATCAGTCTGAACAAGTGTTGCTGAGAGCTGAAGCCTTGCGGAAGGCTTTCTTCCAGGCCAAAGTGATGCGCCCTCAAGGGGAGTTGACCCCTGAGCGGTACTCACAGTGCCAAGATGCCTTGGACACCTTGGCCAAGAAGAAGGTCACGGAGGCCGCGGGCGCCACAGCTCTCAAGTCCTGGGCATAACTGAAGGCCTACATGGAGCAGAAGGACCGGTTGTTTCCTCCTGACACTTTGGCTCTTTATGGTTTTCTGCAGAATGGTACAAATGGGCCTTATCGAGCCTGCCATTCATTGAAATGGCTCGCCAAGCACGGTCGCTCGCAATGGGATTTGAGTGACGTGGAAGAATTCAGCTAAGCAGGCGAATTCAGAACAGGCAGTTGCTGTTGAGCCTCCGATCATTGCAGTCCTGGAAGAACGCATTCAGGCGATGTACGAAGCAGGAGATCCCTGTTGGAGAGGCTTGCTTTTCTTCTGTGCTTTCCTCAGAGCAGCTCTATGCTGAGGCCCTGGGGTATGCACGCCAGCATGTTGACAAAGTGCTGAAACAGGAGTCCAGAGTCATCTTGGCGGCCCCTCTGACTCAGGCCGAGTTGTAGGCCTGCTTTCAATTGTCAGAGGCCTTCAAGCTCAAGGCAGCTGCAAAGAGGGAGGAGGCCCAGGCTAAGGGTAGCCTGGCTGAAATGCCGGCATCTCTGAATGGGAAGGTGCTGAGCGCTTCCATGCAGAATGGGGCACTCATCTGTGAAGCCTTTCAGACGAAGATCTGCCCATTGCCATTGGAGAAGGAGTCATGCTCTGGCAGGCATGCCTGTGCAGTGATGCACAAGGCTGGACGTGTTTGTGGTGGCGGTCATTCCGCATGTGAATGTCATGACAAGCAGTTCATTAAGGTCGAAGGTCCACTTGGAGCTCAACAATGGCCAGATCTCTTTGTTCGCATAAGCAATCTGTCGAGCGTGCAATTCGAGGGTATGAGTTTTTGACAGACTGTCCTAGTTAGTCTCACCAGTTTTCATTAGGCAGCTTACACAGGGATCTGTGAGTGCAAGCTGCATGGACATGAGCCGAGGGTATGAGTTTTTGACAGGCTGCCTTAATTAGCCCCACCGGTTTTCATGAGGTAGCTTACACAGGGATCTGTGAGTGCAAGCTGCATGGACATAAGCCGAGGGTATGCGTTTTTGACAGACTGTCCTAATTAGTCTCACCGGTTTTCATGAGGTAGCTTACCCAGGGATCTGTGAGTGCAAGCTGCATGGACATAAGCCGAGGGTATGAGTTTTTTTTTTTGACAGACTGTCCTGTTTAGTCTCACCGGTTTTCATGAGGTAGCTTACACAGGGAGCTGTGAGTGCAAGCTGCATGGACATGAGCCGAGGGTAAGAGATTTTGACAGACTGTCCTAATTAGTTTCACCGTTTTTCATGAGGTAGCTGACACAGGGATCTGCGAGTGCAAGCTGCATGGACACGAGCCGAGGGTATGAGCTTTTGATAGACTGTCCCAATTAGCCCTACCGGTTTTCATGAGGTAGCTTACACAGGGATCTGTGAGTGCAAGCTGCATGGACATGAGCCGAGGGTATGAGTTTGTGACAGACTGTCCTGATTAGTCTCACCGGTTTTCATGAGGTAGCTTACACAGGGATCTGTGAGTGCAAGCTGCATGGACATGAGCCGAGGGTATGAGTTTTTGACAGACTGCCCTAATTAGCCCCACCGGTTTTCATGAGGTAGCTTACACAGGGATCTGTGAGTGCAAGCTGCATGGACATGAGCCGAGGGTATGAGTTTTTGACAGACTGTCCTAATTAGTCTCACCGGTTTTCATGTGGTAGCTTGCTTACACAGGGATCTGTGAATGCAAGCTGCATGGCCATAAGCCGAGGGTATGAGTTTTTGACAGACTGTCCTACTTCGTCTCACCGGTTTTCATGAGGTAGCTTCCACAGGGATCTGTGAGTGCAAGCTGCATGGACATGAGCCGAGGGTATGAGTTTTTGACAGACTGTCCTAATTAGCCCCACCGGTTTTAATGACGTAGCTCACACAGGGATCTGCGAGTGCAAGCTGCATGGACATGAGCCGAGGGTATGAGTTTTTGACAGACTGTCCTAATTAGTCTCACCGGTTTCATGAGGTAGCTTACACAGGGATCTGTGAGTGCAAGCTGCATGGACATGAGCCGAGGGTACGAGTTTTTGACAGACTGTCCTGATTAGTCTCGCCGGTTTTCATGTGGTAGCTTACACAGGGAACTGTGAATGCAAGCTGCATGGACATGAGCCGAGGGTACGAGTTTTTGACAGACTGTCCTAATTAGTCTCGCTGGTTTTCATGAGGTAGCTTACACAGGGATCTGTGAGTGCAAGCTGCATGGACATGAGCCGAGGGTATGAGTTTTTGACAGACTGTCCTAATTAGTCTCGCCGGTTTTCATGAGGTAGCTTACACAGGGAACTGTGAGAGCAAGCTGCATGGACATGAGCCGAGGGTATGAGTTTTTGACAGACTGTCCTAATTAGTCTCGCCGGTTTTCATGAGGTAGCTTACACAGGGAACTGTGAGTGCAAGCTGCATGGACATGAGCCGAGGGTATGAGCTTTTAACAGACTGTCCTAATTAGTCTCACCGGTTTCATGAGGTAGCTTACACAGGGATCTGTGAGTGCAAGCTGCATGGACATGAGCCGAGGGTATGAGTTTTTGACAGACTCGTCCGGGTTTTCATGAGGTAGCTTACACAGGGAACTGTGAGTGCAAGCTGCATGGACATGAGCCGAGGGTATGAGTTTTTGACAGACTGTCCTAATTAGTCTCACCGGTTTTCATGTGGTAGCTTACACAGGGAACTGTGAGAGCAAGCTGCATGGACATGAGCCGAGGGTATGAGTTTTTGACAAACTGTCCTAATTAGTCTCGCCGGTTTTCATGAGGTAGCTTACACAGGGAACTGTGAGTGCAAGCTGCATGGAC